CGACTATTGTAATAGAGGCGGCTGCTTCTCGGGATCTTTGGATATGGCATGTTTTTTTTTGGAATGTGAGGCTCACTTAATGATATAAATGTTTTAGATAGATCTCATGTCTTCTTAGCATTAATCAACGGTCGTGCTCCTCCAATCAATTTTATCGTCAATGGAAATAATTATTCCATGGGTTATTATCTAGCGGATGGTATATATCTATCTTGGGCAACTTTTGTTAAGACAATATATGCACCACAAGGCTTTAAAGCCAAATATTTTGCAAAACTCCAAGAAGGTGCTCTAAAAGATGTAGAACGGGCATTTGGAGTACATCAAGCTCGTTTCAGTATAGCGTGTGGACTAGCCAGGTTTTCGGATGAAAACACCTTATCTAATATAATGAAAGCGTGCATCATAACGCATAATATGATTATTGAGGATGAAAAATAAGGTGCAAGTAATGTGAATTTGGTCCATGCAAATCCAGATGTTATTCCGTCACACAAACACAAATTGGTTTGTTGAGTTTATTCAAAGTCATCACCAGATTCGTGATATGGGTACTCATTCCCAACTCCAACATGATCTTGTTGAGCATCTTTGGAATTTGCACGGTCAAGAAGATTGATAGTTGTATTTGTAATATTTCAATTTACGCACTATTTCTATTTGTAGTATTTCAATTTATCGCAGTGTTATATTTATAATGTTTCAGTTTATCTTAACGGTACTCTTTAATATTAACAAAATAAAGTTGAGTACAGTTATAATTTTTTATTTTATCTAGAAAACAGTAAACATACAAGTTGAAAATACTAGAGAAACAAACAGTGGAATGCTACCACACATACAATCATTTGAAACCTCTTTTGCAAATTAGTTCATTTTTCTGGGCCTCCCAATAAGTGGCATGAATTGGATCCATTCCGCTAGTGTTTGTCCCCATAATTGCAATCTCACGACATTTTTGAGATTCCTCTATCATTTTTTTGTGTTGCTCAAACTTTTGTTCTTTTGTTTCAATCTTTTTTGCCCAATGCTCATTCGTAACAAACATCGTAGTTGAGCTACCGGTCTTGAAGTTTGCTTCTTTCCTTGATAATTGTTCTTTTGACGCCTTGTTACCGAGAGGCCGAACGTGAGTACTAACATGATCACTTCTATCACCAAATGGGCTTGCATCAACATCAAGGTCGACAATTTTACTTTTTTTTTTAGAATTTGCCATTTTCTCTCGATTTTAATAAGTTCAAAGCAATGCTCTAGTTGGAAAGATCTACCTTCATCAGTAACGTATAGTTGTTTTGCTTCAATCAACTGCAAAAGAAATAAGGTGAAAAATAAGTAAATAATATTGTATGAACAAAAATTTAGAATATAAATATTTAACCTTTTCATGAGTCGATCGACCAGAATGATGCATATCGTCGATTTGTTTAACACAACCAGCAAAATTAGCACATCGTGCGTTAATTTGTCCCCAACGATGTTTTATGTTTTTCTCGGTACGCCCCATGTCACCGCCATGACTCATAAATAGATCATATATTTTTCCCCAAAGCGTAGTAAATCTGTGATCATTAAAGCATAAAATTGAAGCATTAAATGGCTATTCGGTACTTTGGTACCTCATTAAAAAAGTTCCACTCCAACCATCAAACATCAAATGAATAATCAAATTTAAAAAATAATCTTCAATTCATCTATTTAATGTAAACTACCTTTAAATTATATTAAAACATTTAATTTAATATACATTAAAAATTTATTTAAAATAATTAAATGGTAACCAAATTTTATAGCCACGTGTCAGCTTATAATTCGATGTCAAATTTTTTGATAATAATTATTTTTTATCCAAATGTTAGTTTATAATTCGATGTTAAGATATCCGATAAGATTTTTTATTGCAACTTGTTAGATGTTGATTCGATGTTAAGATATCCGATAGGATTTCCTATTTATATCAAACCTTTTAAATAGTTCATTTGTTCACAGGTTTAATTATCCACAATTTCTATCATCTTCATCTTTATTTCACTATGCGTCGTAATCAAGGTGTTTTAAAAACTTTATTGTCTGACTCTGATTCTGATGATCTCGAGATGCTCGTAGAAGCTACACAAGAGGAGGAAGCCGAGAGAGAAAGATAACGCACACATTGCCGTGGTCCTGTTCCTGGTAGATGCGTCATTAATCGCGATAGAGGTGAAGGTCATAATAGAATTTATCGTGATTACTTTTCTAATAATCCTGTATATCATGGTGTTTATTTTAGGAGAAGATTTCGTATGCACATACCTTTATTTTGTAGAATTCTTTCTGGTGTTGAACCATACGATTCGTACTTTGTCCAAAAAAAAAAGATGCAGTAGGGATCCCCGGTTTATCATCTCTTCTAAAGGTAATTGCTGCATATAGAATTCTTGCTTATGGAGTTCCAGCTGATTTTCTAGATGACCACATACGCATAGGTAAAAGCACTTATATTGAGAGCTTACGTCATTTTGTGCAAGCAATTGTTGCCCTTTATGCTGAAAAATATTTAAGAGCACCAAATGAAAATGATTTGTCTCAATTGCTCCATGTCAACGAGCAACGTAGATTTCTAGGAATGCTTGGAAGTATCGATTGCATGTACTGGGGATGGAAAGATTGTCCATCCGCATGGCAAGGTATGTATTATAGTCATTATCGTAAACCGACTATTATATTGGAGGCGGTTGCTTCACGAGATCTTTGGATATCGCATGCCTTCTTTGGAATGTCAGGCTCGCTCAATGATATTAATGTTTTAGTAAGATCTCATGTCTTCTCAGCATTCACCAACGGTCGTGCACCTCCGATCAATTTTATTGTCAATGGACATAATTATCACATGGGCTATTATCTAGCAGATGTCATTTACCCTTCATGAGCTACTTTTGTTAAGACAATACCAACTCCAATAAGTTTAAAGTCGAAGCATTTTGCACAAGTCCAAGAAGCCGCGAGAAAATATGTTGAACAGGCCTTTGGGGTACTACAAGCTCGTTATAATATAGTGCGTGGACCAACGAGATTCTGGGATGGGGAGACACTAGCTAATATAATGAAAGAGTGCATTATAATGCGGAACACGGTTATTGAGGATGAATATGGCCCAAGTTCCATTGGTTTTGATTTTCCAACTCCAAATGTTATACCTTCACGTGAACAAACAAATGAGTTTAGAGAGTTTATTCAAAACCATCACCAAATCCGAGATCGTACCACTCATTCCCAACTCCAGCGTGATCTTGTTGAGCATTTATGGGATTTACACGGTCAAGATTAGTCTAAATTATCATTGAGGAATAATTTTCGTCTTCTCTACTTTATTTTTTCTTATTTTTGTTGTATTGTATTGTAACTTGTTTTATATCTTTAACTTTGATTGTACTTGTCATTAAAATTTTTAAACACCCAACAATAATTTACAATAATTTTTTTTTATTGTAGATAAAACACAAAAGTACAATACCAATTAAATTACAGAAAAATACTTCAAATCAATTATCCTACTCAATGAAAAATACTTAAAACCAATTTTCCTACCTACAATGCAAAATACATATATAAACAATTATATTAAGAGTAAAAAGCAGTTTACCCCCTAAACTATAGCCCGTTTTGCACTTTACCCCCCAAACAAAAAATTTTTGCACGTTTTTACCTAAACTTCGGTTTTCGTTGCACGGTGCCTTAAAAAGGGAATATTTAGGGCATTTTTGCCGGAATCCCACACACGTGCCTTTCACGTGATTTTTCCAAGGGTAAAACCGTCTCATCACTTAAAAATTAAACAAGGGCTGTATTTCGGTTTTCTTTCACCGACTCGATTAACACTTCAATATTTCTCTGAAATTTTCCCCCTTTCGTTTTCTAGGGTTTTTAGTTGAAAATCTTTCCTCTCACAATTTCTTCTGATTTTGACGCGTTGGTTGCTCGAAATGGTCTGGAAATTAAGGAAAGGAAATGAAGAAATTCCTTCAGCACGATTTGCTCCAGAATATGGTAAGTTACTAAAATAATTATCGATCTCTGTTGTGCTTATTTGTTTTATGAAATCGATGACAAAGTTCATTTTTTATTCATAATGTTTCTGTTTTTTACTCAAAATGCTTCAGAATATGTGTTTAAAATATGAAAAAGTATGGATCCCAAAAACATTGTTCCCTTTATTGAAGTCTACTTGTTTATTTTCCCAACTATCATTTATGGTATTTTTTTATTCTTGACTGTAATTTTCTATTCATATTAATGCAGGTCCTAATAGTGATTATTTTACTATTAGAATGTACCATTCTGGTAAAATTGTTGAGTTAAATGGCAGATATTATGTGGATGGCAAAGTTGATTATTTTGATTGGTGTCATGAAGATGAAATGTCTGTGTTAGAATTAAATGAAATGGCTAAAGAGTTAGGATTGAATGATGTGGTTCATTTTCTGCACAATAGGGGTATGCCACATGACTGCAATTATGTTTCAAAGTTAGAGCATGATATTGATACTCTGTGTTTAGTGAATTTTGCTGATGATGAAAGAGTCACTGAAATATATGTTCAGCATGAATCTTCTGTACAATTGAGTGCAAATGAATCGGATATAGATACTGGGAATGAACCTGTTGGGGGTACTGAGAATGAGCATGTTGGGGGTACTGGAAATGAACCATTAGATTTGAGTGATGGTTTAATTGATATGAATGATAGTGATGGTAGTGATGGCCAATCAGTTGGGGAGGATTCTGATCACTCTGATTTTCTAGCTGATAGTGATTTTTATGATTCTGATGATGATATCCAATATGATGACAATGTAGACTTCGATGTAGAATGGGGAGGGTTAAGGGAAAAATAAAAAACAGAGCCTACCAATAGAAGATCTAGGAGATTAAATAAAACAGTTGATGAAGAGGGGTCAAGCAAGAAAAAACTGAATGAATGCACCCACAGTAACTTCCCTGTTTTCAATGAAAAACTTGATATGTCAGACCCTAAATTTCAACTGGGGCTTTGTTTTAATGATACTGAATCATTTAGAAGTGCAGTAAGACAGCATTCTGTTGTCCATGGTAGAGACATCAAATTCAAAAAAAAGGAAAAAAATAAAGTCCAAGTAATTTGCAAACATAAGACTTGTGACTGGACAATTTATGCTTCCCAACTTAGAAATGAAGCTACATTCCAGATCAAGAGTCTTAATGCAGTTCATGAGTGCAATAGGAAAGAGAGGGTCACTTGTGCAACATCTAGGTGGGTAGCCAACAAATATAAGGATAAGTTAGCCTCAGATCCTAAATGGCCTGTTGATTCCATGATGTCTATTGTGCAGAAAGACTGTAAGCTTTTGTTCAGTAGGCATCAAATGTACAGGGCAAAGAAAAAAGCCACTGAGTTGAACACTGGCTCAAGTGTTGAACAATATGGCTTAATGTGGAGGTATGCTGCAGAAGTGGTTAAAACTAATCCTGGCACCACAATTAGGATTAAAACTAAACCTGTTGGGGATGGGAATGAAATGAGATTTAAAAGAGTTTATCTGTGTTGGGGGGCTTTAAAGGAAGGGTTTCTGTCAGGGTGTAGGCCTATTATCTTTTTGGATAGATGCCACTTGAAAACATCATATGGTGGTGTCCTATTGTGTGCTGTAGGGATAGATGCTAACAATGGTATTTATCCATTTGCATATGCAGTAGTTGAAAAGGAGAAAAAAGATAGTTGGTTGTGGTTTATTGAATTGTTGAAAACAGACTTGAACATTGAGAATAGTGGTTTGTGGACTGTGATGAGTGATAAACAGAAGGGGCTCATTGATGGTGTAGAGTTGTTGCTGCCTCTTTCAGAGCACATATTCTGTGTGATGCACTTATACAGTAATTTTAAGTTGTCACATAGAGGCTTAGCTCTAAAAAATATTTTGTGGAAAGCTGCCAGAGCTTCTAGGATTGTGGATTTTGAAAGGGTGATGAGGGAACTGGGTGAGAAGGACAAATCAGCCTTCAAATGGCTTGCTAAGAGGCCTGCAGCACATTGGTCTAGGTCTTATTTCAACACAAACTCCAAGTGTGATGTGTTACTGAACAACATGTGTGAAAGTTTTAATGCAATGATTGGAAGAACTAGGAGTTTACCTATCATTGACATGCTGGAAGCTATCATAATGATCTTAATGAAGAGGATTCATCTGAAAAGAGACAAGATGGCCAAATACAGTGGTGATATTTGTCCTAACATTCAGAGGCAGTTAGATGATTTGAAGAAGAAGTCTATGGGCTACATAGCTCATTGGAATGGCAAGGATCAGTTTGAGGTGGAGAGCTGTTATGGGGAGAAGTTCAAAGTCCACCTTGGGGATAATAGCTGCAGCTGTAGAAGATGGCAACTAACTGGAATCCCATGTGCACATGCTATTTCAAGCATGTATTGCATGGGATACACACCTGAGGATTATGTTGAAGGCTGGTAGAAGAAAGACAAATACATGGCAATCTACAGTCACTTGATGAATGCTATGGAGGGTAATGAGTCTTGGCCTAATTCTGGCAAAAGTAAACTACTTCCTCCAGACATTGAGAGCATGCCAGGTAGACCAAAGATGTACAATAGAAGAAAACAGCCAGGTGAAGGGTTCAGGGATATACCAGCTCCTGTTTGCAAGAACATAACAACAATTGGAAAGTTGGGGAGGCAAGGAGTGATAATGACTTGCAGTTTGTGTCACCAGAAGAAACATAATGCAAGAGGTTGTCCATTAAGGCAACCAAGTGAGCAAGGCACCACTAGTGGTGCTGCAAATAACAAAAGAAAGGTACATGTCTATGGTTTTTGTTTATAATCTTATTTCTATTGTAAGGTTCTTATGTTATTTTCTTTTGTGAATTTCCAGATGAAGCAATCAAAGAAGGGCAAGGAAAAAATACCCAATCAAGTGTCTGAAACACCAGTGGTTAGTATAATAACATTAATCATTTTTTTGTATCTCTGAGTATATGAACTATATTTTCATTAGTGTATGTGAAATAATAGCTTTAATGAATTTTTGATAAATGTGAGTATGAATTATATTCTATATTTTGATAATTGCAGATGGATGATGATACCTTGAGCCAGGAAATTGAGGCTGTATATCAGAGCTTGATTAATGAAGCTGAAGAAACTTCAAAACAAACTGATGAGACTGTGAGTAAAAGACAGAAATTACCAGTTAGGAAAGGGAAGAAAAAAAGCATTCCAGAAGAGGTAAAAGATTTGATTTTTAAATCCTTGGTTAAAACAAAGCTTCTGAACATATTGTTGTTTTTATTTTATTTTTTGTACTTTAGGTGGTTCCAAAATCAAAAAAGAGCAAAGAACCTATGGTGGTTGAGCAACTGAAGGTTCCAAGAACATGGAAGGGCAAAGAACTTATGGTGGCCAGTCAAACTTCAAGAGTGCCAAGAACACCTAGTAGCCAGCTATCACAAACAACTGTAAACAACACCCTTTCAGCAAGTCTACAAAGTGAACTGCACCACCACATTTCCAGAAAATTTTTGTTAAAAAATTTGTAATTCAAGATAGTTGTAATGCTGGCAACTCTATTTTGTTTTGGTATTTGCTATTTTGGTATTGTTAGTCTGTCTTTTTGAAAATTGTATTTCAGAAGTTTTTTGGAAGTTTTTTTGGAAGTCTTTTTGAGAACTGTATTGAAGACAACTTTTTTGTTTTGATATTAATGAAGAAGTTGATTATCTAATAGTTTGTTGTGAATATGTTTATGCTTGTTGTGAATAACATCACAGTACATTGGTACATTTATTTATGTTTGTTCTTACATTGACAAACCAAATCACAATAGCCATTGACTTCATTACATAAAGAGTACATTAAGATGAATAAACCACATCACAATAGCCATTGATTTCATTACATAAAGAGTACATTAAGATGAAATTACATTACACAATCTGTTTTTGAAAAACAGAGACACAAGAACAATAGAACACAACTCACTAAATAAAAAATCAAAAACTCCAAAATATCTTAATTTCAAGAACACAGATTTTCAAGATACACAAATAAATATTTTAATTTCAAGAACACAGACATATTATATAAGGAGATACACAAACAACCATGAGATTATCACTGCAATCCACAAGCACTTTTCTCTTGAACTCTTCTTCATCAACTCCTCTTTACGCATGTTAATTTTCCGAAGCAGCCCAGGAATAATTTGACGAGATCTGTCACACATCGGGGGATCAATCCACACAAAGTAGTTACAGCCTCGAATATTCTGAAGAAAAAAAAATTCAACATAATAATTAGTAGTTAATTATCTATAATTATAAACAACATAACAAGATCAAAACAACCATACCTTGTAGTTATCACATGTCGAGAATCTCCTTCCTGGATTTAAATCAGTCCAGGAAGTTCTTGTGACTACCCTTCTCGAACAATAACACGTTGCTTCCATTCTCTCACAGATTGCTTTCGTCTGTGAGAGACGACATGAAAAAAAAATGACAATAATTTCTAAGGGATTTTCGTCTGTGAGAGAAGATAAAAAATGGATGGGAAGAGGGCTATAAGATTTGGAGCACAACAGGTATAAAGAAGAAGGAGAAGCTCTTAATTTTGGAGGGAAAATTGGACAAACGGGAGAGGAAAAGGGGGGAAATACAGCCCTAGGTTAGTTTTTAAGTGATGAGACGGTTTTACCCTTAGAAAAATCACGTGAAATGCACATGTGTGGGATTCCGGCAAAAATGCCCGGAATATTCCCTTTTTAAGGCACCGTGCAACGAAAACCGAAGTTTAGGTAAAAACGTGCAAAAATTTTTTGTTTGGGGGGTAAAGTGCAAAACGGGCTATAGTTTAGGGGGTAAACTGCTTTTTACTCTTATATTAAACCATTATTTCAGCTTCGGAGATTCTATGGGAAATTAGAAACGTCTCAGTATTTCCATTTTTTTCTTGTTCCAATACGCTGCATGAATCTCTTCCATCCCAGTAGTGTATTTCGCCATAATTTCCATCTCTACACGCTCTTGTTCTATACGTTTATGCCCTTCGTCAATTTGTTTACACTCTTCAACTATTTGTTTGCGCTCTTCGTCGACACGTATTGCATCTTCTTGTATTGTTATGCACCTTTCGCGTTGATCATATCTTTCACCTTCTATTACCATCTTTGCTTACCAACGCTCATCGATAAGTGACATTCTGGATGAGCTTCCACCTTCTGTGATGCCTTGTTTTCTCTTGAGTTGTGATTCCTTGGACGATATTTTACCCAAAGGCCGACCTTTATTGGTTGAATGCTCACTATTGTTATATTCTTATGATATTTTAGTACCTTCAAGGTTGATAGAAGTATTTTTTTGCTTTTTCTTAGAAGTACCAAGCCATTTCTTCTCATACTTTAGAATATCGAAATAGTGTTCAAATTTAAATGGCTAATAGTGCTCTTGCTTCTTCCACCTATGATACAAAATATTCAAATGTTAACAATAATATCGATATATATTAAATATATGAAAAGAGAAGGAAATACATGTACCCTCACATGATATGTTTGACCAGACTGATTCCTATTGTTGATTTGATTAACATAACTAATGAACTTTTCACAATGGGTATTAATTTCTCGCTAGCGATTTTTTATGTTTTGCTTACGCCCTTCTTGACCGCAATTGATTATGAAATCGCCGTAAATCCTCTGCCAAAATCCAGTAAATGTTTGTTCGTTTCCATGAACAACATCTTTGATTGTATGTAGCCATGCCGACACAAGAAAAATATCTTCCTCACAAGTAAAATTCGACACTACAAGAAATATTGGTTTTAGTGACGATTTTGAATGGTCGCTAAAAGTTAGAAAATGGTAGTTAAAACTTCTAGCGACCAAATTAAGCTTGGTCACCGGTGGTCACAACAGGGTAGCTACTAAAAGCACTCAGTGACAAAAAAATTAATTGGACGCTAAAAGATGAGATTTAGCAGCGAACTAATAATGATCACTAAAAATATAATTATTAACGACCAGTTTTTGACTCGCTAACGTAAATTTTATGGTGGCAATAATATTAATATGGTTGCTATAGCAACATATATAGTGGCCATATAATTTTGGTCGCTAAATGATATATGCGTATAGTAACCATATTTTATTGTTGCTATAGGATATATATTTGGCCACCACATTTTTTGGTTGCTACATAATATACATATAGTGACGGTATATATTGGTTTATAAATAATATATCTGTTGGTTGCTAAATATATACATATAGTGATCATATTATTAGTTACAATAGTTTTTACATGGTTTCAACAATTATTAAATTTACTGACCAATTCAAACCAATAATTAGTTGGTTGCTTTAGTCATTAATGTTTATTTGCAAAAGTGGCTGTAAAAAAAATTAAAATAAAACTAAAGATTGCAATCAAATGTGAATATTATAATTTCAATCTATCGTACTAAATACAATAATAAATCAATCATTCCAAATAATAAGAAATATTACTATAATTATTTCTATCGCGATGATTTTTTTTGTCTACTCGAAGCACTAGCACTAACAATATTTTCATGTTGTGTAGTTGGATTCACATCATAGCTTTCATCACATAAGGGTGAGTTTTAATTGATGAGATCGGAGTTCATCAGCAATACAAAAACAATCAACCAAACAATACAATTAATTGAAAATCATAAAACATAAATAAATAGAATTAAACCAAACCAATTATAAGCCCCGCCCTTGCCCAAGCCTAATCCTCAAATCATTTTAACTATACAAACCAAAGACAAAATTAATTATTAAAATCCCACTTCCCAACCCATTCTAACCCAATTTATCTAAACAAATATGCCCCTCTTAACCCTAAAACATACGCCTCTCTCCCCTCTAACTTGATCTCTCTGGTTCCAAAAGAAGGCAAAAAAAAAAAAGGAAAAAAGAAAAGAAAAGAATTCAGTCTCTCTCAAATCCTCCCCCTCTCTTTGCCTAATTTATTTCACTCGTAGCAGAACTATCCTCTTTTGCCCTCCAATTTCTGTCTTTTTTCTCAGTATATCCACAATTGTTTTTTTCAAATACCTTGATTCGAAGAACAAAAATGGGAAAAACAGAAATGCAGAATAGTGATTTGTTGGGATGACGATGATTCAAAGATAGGTTGAGATTATATAGAGTTTACCTCTTTCTTTTTTCCTGAAAATATGACCGTCGTTGGAACTTTTTTCCTTCTGAAAATATGACCGTTGGTGGTGGTTGGGTGATGTTTAAATGTTGTTATTTGAAGTGGAAGGGGCGTATTTTTACACGCCAACACCTGAATAATTAAGAAAATGTCTGGGTATAATTATTGTGTTGGAGAAGATAAATTCATACTCAAGGCATCAAATTGGTAGTTATGCCATTTAATGCTTCATTTGGTGCATGCGTTGGACTTGTTCATATAAATACCCTAATCCCCCACCCCCACCACTATGAGCCGCTATTCATACCCCTCTTTTCTCCTCCGTTTTCCCTCTCTTCTAATTCCCTCCTTCTTTCCTCTCTCTTGTTTTCCCCCTCTGTCGTTTTTTTTTTCTTTCTTTCACTCACTCATTCTCCCCCAATCTTATTCTCTCTTTTTTTAACCCCTTTTCTCTCATCTTTCTTTCAATGTTTTTTTCGTGCTCTGATTCACAAGGAAAATCAGAAACCCATAAAGGTTACCTTTTGTTTTCGTTGTTTTTCTTTTAATTTTGAGTTCTGAAATTATATACTTTTTCAAGGCGAAATGGTCTTCTTTATAAGAAGGATTTTTTCTTTTTTTTGGTTATCTGTTGAATCTGCAGAATAAAAGAGCCGTTGGGTGGAAATGTATCTGTTGGGAGAAAATAGATCCGTTGGGATCTTCCCTCCAATTTTTTGTTACCCAATTTTAAGACCCCATTTTTTATGACAGAGAACTCTAAAATGGGGCTTGTTTTGATACCTTGGTTGGAACAAAAAGATTCAGACTTTAACCATCAAAATAACAGTTATTGTCTTTAGGACCTCATTTAGGGCCTCGGTTGGAGTTGTCCTAAATATACAAGAGTTGATTGAAGAGAGAAAGTGATTTTTTCCATCTTAATGAAAATAACTTGTTATACATTTTCAAGAGTAGAGATTTTTCCCTTCTAATTTTGGCTCTTAATATCTCAATTATAGTTTAGAATTCTTCATGTACAACCCGCCCTTGTAGAAGAATTATTAATTTGTGATGTAATTAAAGATTTTGAAAGCAAAGGTCAATTCTCGAATTTTTTGCAGTAGAGAAGGCGTTTTGAACTCCAAGACTTCATCAACCAACCGATTGTCATGAAAATTTTAATGGAGGTTGCTCACACATAAGGATTCGATCCAGAGCAAATAGATGATCTATCCGTCTCTCCAAAAGGAATTTATGAATTTCAGAAGATTGGTGAAATTTCTTGGCATGAAAAAAATAGAAAAAGCTCAGTTGGTGATTTTGGAGGACCCCCTTTGCGTTTCATGCCATTGTTGGACTGAAGAAGGTGTCTTGGGATCATGTCTATATTATGTCGTAAATTATTGATTTATTTTTATTATTTCTTAATGAATCTAGAATGAACTCAAGACAGTTTCGTGAGGAAATGCGGGATTTTGGGGATATGTTGGCGGATTGTGATCACCACACGGATGCTAGGTTTGTGGGTTATCCGTTCACTTGGGAAAATTGCGGTCTTTTCCAAAGGCTTGATCGGATGTTGTATAACGAGCAGTGGGCAAACATGTTCTCCTTAACCGGAGTCACTCGCCTGCCACTAGGTACTATTCCGAGTTATTTTTGTTTTCAAAGTATGTGGATCCATCACCCTTATACAGTCTGTCATATCTTGAACTAGCTCTATTGTGAGGCTGGCATGGTCATTCTCCAGACCAAGATAACACGGACCAAGCATTGGTTGAGATGGTGGAAATCGAATGCCTTCGGTGATATTCTCACCTATAGGGATAGGGACCAGAAGGTGGTTGGGGATTTTGAAAGGATTTTTGGCTCTTACCCTTCTCCCGAGCACCGGACGACGAATAAGAAGATCACTGCACAGTTCACTAGTACGCATACCATTAAAGATTACATGTTGAAACAGAAGAGGTTTGTAAACATGCTGTCGATGGTTAGTGGAACATCAGATGCTCCCAGTCCCTTGAAAAGAAGCACCATTGTTGTAATAAGATCCACCATCGTCTTCGGCAATAGCGCGTCGGGCCCTATTGGTTTTTCTTCAGTATTTCCCAGTATTGTTGGGATGTTGTTGCGCATGATATTCAGGATGTTGTTTTCAACTTCTTTACTTACCAGTCGGTGCCAAAGATTTTCACATTTATCACTCTTGTCACTATCCCTAAGGTACATAATCCGACTTCATTAGTCTATCTAATGTCTCCCACAACATGTCTGTCTCAAGCTCTTAGGGTTTCTCGTTCGCTTCAAGCCATGGCTAGTGAATTTACATCCCTAGATTAACATAGAACATGGGATCTTGTTCCCCACAAGTCTATATCCAATCTCATCGGGTGTAAATGGGTATACAGGTTCAAGTATAAAGCTGATGGCACAATCGATAGGTTTAAAGCTCGACTTGTTGCGAAACGCTTCCACCAACGCCCGAGACTTGATTTTAATTAGACATTCAGTCCAGTTTTAAAACCCGCAACCGTTCGAACTGTTCTTACTTTAGCTGTGACAAAAGAATGGTCCATTCGTCAACTCGACATTAACAATGCCTTTTTGCACGACACACTTGAAGAGGGTGTTTACATGATTCAACCACATGCTTTTATTGATGCTTCACACCCATATTATGTTTGCAAGTTAAGAAAATCGTTATACAGACTCAAACGGGCACCGCGTGCTCGGTATCATGCCCTCAAGAATTTTCTACTTTTTATGGGTTTTCGTTATTTTCAGTTTGATTTCTGATTATTTTTCTATAATTTTGGTGGTGTCTTGCTTATTTCTTGGTCTATGTTGATGATATAATCATTACTGGCAACAAAATCTAAATTTATCAAGCAAGTTATTCAATAGCTAGTGAGTTAATTATCTCTCGAAGACCTTAGTGATCTTCATTATTTTCTTGGTGTTGAAGTGCTCCCCACGTCTACTGGTTTTTTTCGTACCAAACATAAATATATTCGAGACTTGCTGCAGACTACGAAGATGGAAGGAGCTAAGGATGTTTCAACACCAGTGTGTACCTCCATTTTTTTAATTTTAATGATGGCACACCTCAAGGCTGCACCGAGTATCGCCATGTTATTGGTGCTCTCCAATATATGTCCTTCACACAGCCTGAAATTGCTTTCACAATCAACAAACTTACACAATTCATGCATCAACCCAGCGCCACACATTGTACTGCCACAAAGCGTCTACTTCGCTACCTTAAAGATACTCTCAGTTATGGTATTCTAATCAGCAAGTCCACTTCGATGAATCCTCGTGCCGACTCTGATGCCGATTGGGAAAGAAGCCATGATGATAGATCCTCTACCTCTGCTTATATGATCTTCCTTGGTACTAGTCATATATCATGGAGCACATTAAAAGCAACGAGCCATTTCCCGTTCGTCCACGGAGGCTGAATATTGGGCCCTCGCTGCTGCAACTTTGTAACTCGCTTGGCCACAGTTCCTCTTTCGTGAGCTCCAAGTCAATCTTCAAGATCCATCCTCCTTACTATGCGACAATATTGGCGCTACTCAATTAAGCCTAAACCCAGTTAATCACTCTCGGATGAAGCACATAGCAATTGACCTCCACTTTGTCCGTGACTATGTTACTAGAGGTTTACTCCGTGTCTCCCACGTTCACACCACTAATTAGTTGGCAATCACTTACCAAACCCGATGACTCGGTTCAGACATCATTGGCTGCTTTCCAGGGTTGCAGTTACCGATGGAACCTCCATCTTGCGGGGACGTGTAAAGGAAAAGGATTCTATCAAATAGTAACATGAGATTGCAAGGCTTATGTCAAGCCATTTAAGGAGCTACTGTAACTGATGAATCCAACAAATCAAGCTCCAAATCATTCCTTGAATATTAGCATCCGTATAATTGTATAACATTTAATTATTATACAATATATTCCACATATTAGCCTCTATATATATCTATATAAATACAAAAGCTATGTAAATGAAATAGTGTGTTTGATTCTCCATTGTACCGATCAATCCCATTTACATTATGTATGATTTATCGTGCTTCGAATGTACTAAGTGCTATTAACTTTTTTTCTATGGTACAAAGTGCCAAAAAACTATATTTAAATGGTGCAAAATGGAAACCAAGCCATCTATTATAACTACTAAAAAAGTACAACATAGTTATATATATATTTATATATATATATATATATATATATATATATATATATATATAAACCTTTAATACAGTCGGAACCATCAAAATTCTATTAATTTAGTGAATATTAAGTTATCGATTAAAATAGTACTAAAATATGACTTGCTAAACACCCTATAACAAATAATGTTTTGAGTGACAACACTATTTTATATGATTAGGCAAACAGTTATTGTCTTTATGGTTGTAATTAACGGCTATGATCACGAATACTATATAGTAACAATAAAGAGGATTAAGTAACAACGTCACAAAAGAAATTACTAATGACAACATAAAAATGTTATAATCACTTAATATTTGTTTTTAGTGCAAAATAACTTTTGATAGTGTCATAGCATCAGTAATTTCATTTTTTCTTGTAGTAAAAATACGATATAGTTGCTAAAATATATATCATTGAACAAGCAATTTTTTGCATTCATGGTTGAAGATATTGAGTTTCCAATCATATAGTTCATAATTTTCCATTTTATTATATTTCAATATTTTTTTGAAAAGAAACTACTCAAATGAAAATAATAGTTACTTCAATATATTTTTAGTTCACAATTCATGAACAGTAGAATGTCATTTTCAGATGTTATCTGATCTTTTACGTATGAGTTAAAATTACATTACTCATTGAAATGAGTTTTTGTTTTTAATTTAGTGACAAAAGGTATCATTATGAAATTTTAGATTTTAAGAATCCACATTACATGATTGTATATATATATATATATATATATATATATATATATATATATATATATATATATATATATATATATATATATATCTACAATCCAAGAAACAAAAACCTCTCTATCTGCAAACAAGCTCCAAGGCTTTCAACAAGGTTATTCTAAACCTATCTAAATCAACATTCACATCTTGATTATCCATATAAATTGACTTAAAAACAAGCCATCCCTTATTACGCATAGCATCGGGATTTTTGTAAATGTCGCTGTCGATTGGGTATTTCCCAAATAGAGAGCTCTCATTCAGACTCACCTTGTACTCTAAATACCTCAAATTCATACCTTTTGTTGGTTCTTCATAGTAAAACCTAGCCGCGGAGTCCAATGCAAAGGGCACTATCTGAATTAAAACTGCTTTTTCTGGAAGAAAAACCATGTTCGTAAGGCCGGCCCCATGCACTCCAATCATAACGTCGAAACTATTCACAAACTTGGCGACTTTTGGAATTTCCCATCCAATTTCTTGCACGGCAACCTTAAATCCCATGCTCCGAGCCATGTTGGCTACATTGTCTTCGTTCGTCAAATGTCGTGTTTTGTTTCTGGAAATGATGAGCAACCTAGGGCCGCGAGTTTTGGTTTTCTTGCATTCATTACTTACGGACTTTCTCTCCGAAGAATACGTATTTCGAATGAAGTTTGTAAAGTTCGTGGTGGAAATATGTGGGAATTGTAGTGAACTGTCGATGCTTAACTCCTTGTTGGCCTTGAGCCCAACGATCAACCTTGGAAAACACAGGACTTCGTTTTCCTTGTCAATGTCGATAATGTCGTGTTCGGAGAGATTGTCAAGAATTAGTTTGTACTCATAAGTCCAATAAGAATGAATGTCGGCTACGAGAAAGATTACGTTTTTGTGAAATTGTTGGGAAGTTGAGTATAGTGGAATGAGGACGTCGGCAAAGTCGTGGTAATTGTTTCCGGCGTATCCTCCGGTGGAGAAAATGATCGCCGGAGAGGTGAAGTTTCGGGTGCAATGAGGTAAGTTACCTGGGGTTTGATGAATTATTGTGAATTCCCTTACCTTCTTCATTGCTTTATTATCGTCTAACCGTGCGTACGGTTTTGTGGTCCAATTAGAATTTGTGGTGCGTTGCTGGATTGAAGGTACGAAGATGGTCGATGAGTTGCCGTGGATTCTTATTATATCACCATACATTTCGTAGACTTGTGATCTTGAATTTGTCAAGTTGTCAACTTTTATTGGCTCTATACTACTCCCTGCACCATCAAAATGAAAATTTTACTTTAATTAGTTTCCGTTTGATCGCCTATAGGAAAACCCTAACATGGAAGAGGATTATACATGTATGATTTAAGAAATATTTTACTAAAACAATTTAAAAAAGTTGATGAAAATAATGATTGAAATAGAGTTTCTTTTAAAAGCTGGCGAAATAGTTAAAAAAAAAAAAAAAAACAATTGAATGTTTAAATCTAATCATTGAAACAATGTTAACTGACTGCGTTGGCCGGACAATGGAAAATAATAATAATAATAAATATTAATATCATTATATTAGACAGTAATATTACCATACTGTATTAGATAGTAACGTTATTGTGCTGACCGATCAACAAAGGGAAAAAAAAAACAATCAAGCAAAAAGAAAAAGGATTCTCATAAAGCAAAAGAAAAGGTCAATGGCGTTGACTATAGGTAATGACAAGAAAAAAAATCCACAAAAGAAAAAAGAAAATCAAAATCTGATTGAGGATCAAAATTGCTAAAATTTAAGTTTAAATCAGGAATTGAATTCAAAGAGTTGGAGTTAATTTGTTTATAAGTATTAGAATTGAATTTGTTTCTAGTACATGTTATAGGGGGAGTTTGTTTGCGAAAAAGAACAAGGAACTGGACTTAAATTAATAAAACTAATTTGTCACATATCTCCATATAAAAAGCTCTTCCAAGATACAAGTATTTTTTATACTTTAGTCACTAAAGTCATCATTTTATTCTTTAGTCACTAACAACAAAATTAGTTACATCCGAATCGGTTAATAATTTTATTTGTAAGC